TCAAACAAATTCAGGGTCCATCGCTTCTGACAATGGCAGCGAAGACATCAGGGAGCTGATTGCAGCAACTCTCTACCAAGCGCGACGCTGGTTACTCACCAGGGCAGAGCGCTTCCATCGCGCAAGAAATGGCCTCGAGCGAGAAATGCAAGTCCGATTTTGGAACGATCCAACCAGGGTAATCCCTTGAAAATTGGCCTGAACACCTCTCATACTGGTGTTTCACGATGTGCAAACTTTCAGAGAAATCGACCGGGGAGAACGTGGTGAGCTCGTGGGTCCTCCTGTATCGTGTATGATTTGAATGGTCGCGGGGACAGAAGAACAGTAATTTTACGACTCCCAGCGGTGCAAACAGACCGCGGCCATGTTTTCTCTGTCGGCCGCGATCACGTTCAAAAAATCGATGACGCAATGCATGCGCAGAGGCCTGCGCAGTGCGTTCGCTGACATCCCTACTTGATGCTGTTGAGCAACTTGCACAGCACTCACACTTTGTGTACCCACACCCAGAGCCAGTTGAGGTGCCCTTGACCTGGTGGTCACACTTGCTTGACTTCTACTAGTAGTAGTACCAGCCAACTTACTGGATGCAGTGAGTGTACCCAATACACTACCTGGCCTATTGACTTGTAGAGGTGACAAAGAAGGGGTTGTCCTACCAAGCACAGGCATTGATCTTCTGCCACTCATAATAGCAAGACTAGAACTTACAGTCTGCATGGCTGGGTGCCCAGCACCACTTGATGAATGACCAGCATTGCCAGCAGGCACGCCATCCAGACTGCTTTCATGGACTTCAGGAGCACTTGCAGTGACAGGACTCTTGTTGCTCATCTGCAACGAAGTGTGACCAATGGCACCAGGGATATCAGAATTCGGCGCACGTTCTGCTACCATCAACATTTGTTCCGTGGCATCCAAGTCCAGGGTGCCTCTCGAGTTTGACCTGGAACTGCTTCTGCCAACACCAACGGAGGGACTACGTGTTGAAGCCTGCATCCTTTCCTCACGCTCTACGTATGAGCTTACATCGGAGAGGAAGGATCGCTGCGTCCTGTACGCCCTGTCCCAACCATCTAGTTTTAGCAGTTCCCGGTCGTCATCTCTTGACTCCAAGATTTCCCTGTGTCTGGTAACCAGCTCCCGAATCTCTTGATCTAGTTGCTCAGCTTCTTGTAAATCTCTAGCTAGGTACCGCAGACTTGGTGCTCTTTTAGCAAACTCCCGCTGCAACTCGCCAGCCACTCTGGTGAAACTGCTCTTCAATTTGCTTCGATCTCTCACGAGCTTCTCGAGAACCGAAACATCACTCGAATGTCTTGACTCTCCGAGCGTGTCCTCAGCGGCGGCGGCAGCAGCAGCTTCCTCACGAGGAGAAGCAACGCTCGCTCCGTCGTCCACTTCTGATGTCTGATGTTCCGATGTGTCCATACCTGACGAATCGCAACAGGATCCGGCTCGAAGGACCAGAATGTCGGATCACTGGACTCGTAATCTCGTGCTGTCCGGGCTGTCACAACCCTCACTAATAAAGTCACTTGACTCTCACAACAGACACGATGGAACAGGACTCAGACAAGGAGAAAGGTATTATTCGGAAGGACTTATTGCAAGAACAAACACATCATTCGAGCAGAGGAAAACAAACTACAACTACTTGTCTCCACTTGCGAAACAGAAAACTAACACCAGCACTGACTACACTATCAGTACATGTATGAATAAGGGCAGGTTGCATGCAAATATGGATGAAAGTACTGCTCACGGTTCACATGGTTCAGTTCGCGCGAGCCCCGAGCACGCGGGTGTGCCCGAACCGCGTATGCACAGATGGCATGAGACAAGACATAACTCAGTGCCGCGACCTATTAATACATGTAGTAATATTACTAATCGTATGATGGAAGAAGGTGGAGGACCGAACACATACATCTTCACCACACTCTGTCTCTCCAAACGGTCTCTGGCCTACACCAATCGCTAAAAGAAAAAAGATTCGAATTTTTGGGCAAGGCCCATCTTTTCCAGTATGTACAGATTTTTGGGTATTGAAATAAGGCTACACTTAGTTTTTTCTATGTTTCTCGTCGGTGAATTTCAACAAAAGGTACGCGGGTGGGTGGGCGGAAAAAAACAAAAGTCAAGAAAAAACAAAGAACAATTTTCACTGAAAACTGTATACATTGTACATGTGTGATCAATACGTCATGACATCACTAATAAAAAGTGCTACTGTAAAACATGTAATGTTAGGTGTATTAAAATTTCGGTGTCGGGGACCTGCCAGGTTTCAGGTGTAATTTAGAATTAGGTGACCAGCGTTCTCTGCACATACAGTGCATACTCTAGTGCCTTTTAGGTGTAGTTTAAATTTAGGTGCCTGGTTTCTCTACCGAAATCACCGAAATTAAAGTTACACCGAAAATATCGTGTTTTACAGTATTCCCATGATATCTTGGTGAAAAAGGAGAAGGACAAAATGTTACGAGTTATGACTAACTGTCCACCAACGTAACCAGATTTTATATAGTCAGCGAGTGCGACAAAATGACACAAAACTGACAAGGAGTACTGAGACATTCGGCGATCTGACACCTAGCTCCAACACTTCTCCAAGGCGCAAACCAACAACCTTCCAACTTGGAAGGCTCAGGTTCGGAAAGGTCTAAGAGGGGAAGGCTCGTAACATTTTGTCCTTCTCCTTTTTCACCATAATTTAATTGGCTCACCATCCGAGTTGAATTTTGCACACCCATGATATCTGTGCTGGATTATAAGCCCACACATAGCAAGCAAAGAGCAACAGTGTGCACGTACATGTACATACAAAGTAGCCAATAGTTCGAGAGATAAACTAACGGGGATGATCACATGCCACATCACTTGATATATTCCAAACACAACACAAGAATGCACGTGACGCGCATGTTGAATCAGTTGACTTGTGGAGTGAATGTACATGCGAGGTATATCGCGAATACTGAGTCCATGTTGCCTAACAGAATCGTGACTGGCTAACGTGACTAGTTCTTTGTCTCAGCATGTTTGCACTTCCGGGACGATGCGTTCCCCACCTTCTGCTCACCACGGGTGCGGGGCTTTATACCCCTGCTGCCGCACGACTAGCATGGCATGTGGATGCTCTGATACTTCTCCCGCTGCTCTGGTGTTGGGGCGGGAGGGTCGCTGGCTCCACAGGAGAAGCAGACGGCTGGAAAGCTCTTCTTCGACGGGAAATATGTTCGTTCCACATCAGAAGAGCAGCCGAGGCTTGTCCGGACAACCACCAGGCGATGGAGCTCGTGGTCAGGCGCCAGAAGAGCCGCTCCACAGACATAGTCGGTGATATCCAGTGCCTGACGGATGGCCACTTGTTGTGTGTCCTTGTAAGAGAACCAGCTCTTGTGTTGGCCTGGGTTGTTGTACTCATCGCCTTTGCTGACCGCGCACTCGAACACAGCGGGGATGACAACTCCTCTGCTCTTCAGAGTCGTCAAGCACTTTGATGGCGAGATGGCGAAGAGAACATCTGCTATCGTATCAACGAATGCTTTCCACTCGTCTTTCCCTTGCCATGCGTACACCCGAGTTTCT